AGAACCAGAACCTATCGAAACTTGCCTTCTTTTGACCCCTAGAACCTGTTTATAAGGATGACAATAGCGAAGTTTCATGATATAGAGGCATTTTTTCCCTTAATCTCATCATGTATGCTGAGGAAAGGAAAGATGGAACTCGGGAAGGAACTAAATGTATGCAAACAACCAAATAGAGCTATCTTTTTATTAATATGGAAAAAAAACCCAACCACTTGGAAATTTCAACAATAAACAGCGATGGAAACGTATCACTATCAGAAATTATCCAGCAAAAACATTAACAAAATACTCACAGAAAGAAAAACCAAAGTTAAACAAATATAAAACAAAGAAATTATTTAATCCACACAAAACTAGTCCCATGGGTAGTAAAGATCAGAGATTGAGAGATTAAGGAATGTACTTGATATATTACATGATGGACACATAGCTCTTTAAGCTGAAACCTAAGTTCTACAAAACACTTAATACAACTACTCATACTAACACCAAAGTGTGTACAAGAATATTCTCTCCTCTGTGAGAGCTCTCTTTCACCATGGTGAGATCCTATCTGCTCTTTAAGCGTAATTTTGCTAAGAAAATCTCAGCACACCTTCAGTCCTCTACTCCATCTTAGTATCTACCTTTTAATGACATTTTCCTTTTTCACCATCGCTTTTATGGTGTTTCTTCTAACTATTGTCCTCAAACCCTCTTTCCTGAATCTTCGTCTGTTCCTACTCTGTAAGCGCTCGCCATTCGGGCCCCCAACAAACTCCACTGGTAATATATCCTGATTTCTTCCATATCCCTCTTCTTTTCATACCTTTGCTCCCCAGAAAATTGTTTTCCGTAAACCTTGCTTACTGACCATTTCAACCTTCTTTTCATCCCTTTTCTTATTTAGTATTTCATCTTCAAAACCTTGACCCATCCCATTATTAAGTTTTTCCTCTTCTAAACCTCCACTCATCACATTTCTTGAATCTTATTTCCCAAAAATACCTAGAATGGAACACGAAACTCTGCCACAGGTGAATGAACAGGAAGCAAATTGCAAGAAGACAGAACTACTTCGACTGTATCTTTTCTCAAATCCTCAGGCAGTCAACGAGATACTACATCTCTGTCTAGTAGGTAAATTATTTCTGACTCCAACTTAAACAAAAATGGGGTGTGTAATGTTATTCTGGGTGCATGGAAGACTGTCAATGGTTTCTCAGTTACCCAGGGAGAGGAACATTTACTTGTTCAAAATTCATATCTGAAGCTGATAGAGAGAAAATATACTCGGAAGGTCCCTGGTCAGTTATGGGAATTTATTTGTACTGAAGAAGAGTGCCCCCCATGCTACAATCAGAGACTATATGTTCAATTCAACAGAATTTTGGGTTCAGATTTGGGGACTCCCAATTGATATGATGTTAAAGAATAATTCTTGGAAGAATTGGGAACTTTTTGAGAACGCCCACACAACTGGATAATTTCAAGGAGGAATTGATGCTATAACGTAACTATTTAAGGATAAAATGCGAGATTGATATCACTGAACCGCTAAAGAGAGATTTCCTTTGGACTAGGGAAAATTTCGATGGTACTTGGATCCAATTTCGATATGAAAGGCTATCGGACTTTTGCTACCAATGTAGTTGTATTGGCTATTGCAGAAACCTCCGTCCACATCAAATGGATGGGGAGACTTTGGAGTTTGGTCCAGAATTATGAGCACAATCCCCTCAAGGTTCATCTATCTTCAGAGAAAGTTGGGGCTCAAGTGGTAAACAAGGCGGAAGGAGATCAAAAAAGTTCAAGCAAGTTCTTCTGGATGCCGGAGATGAAGTGGAGACAGTGGTGCGTACAATGCAGGGGATTAAAGATCAGACGCGCGCTATCTGCCAAGTTAGTAGCAACAAACCACTACTTCGTACGACCTGTAACCCACCTCAAGGTTCTGAATCGCCAATAGCCAATCCTCTTCCTTCACGTGGTGTTCCTACAAATTCTCAAGGCATCTCTAAAAATTCACAACGGAAGAATCTCAACTCCACTAATTTGGTGGAGCCAGGGAACAATGGGGACCCACCTAGCTTTGTAGGAACCTTTTCGATTTTAGAGGATCCAAAGGTGGGGGCATTTATTAGACTTCCTTTTGATCCCCGTTTGAATATTGCGGTACCTAATCCATGGGATGATATAAACCCAAATAGTTTAGGTTATTTTGTAACGGAACCCCTCGAAAGCCCAGTGGATGGTAAGGCCCATTATGAGTATAGAGATCAGGATAGCCTTATTGTTTTGGGCCAGAATCCTCTTGAAGCTCATTCACTTGTGATCCAAGTTGAGCCTTTTATGAATATGAACCAGAATAAGGAAGATGAGGGTGAATTGACCTGAGGTTCTTAGCAGTTGACGCTAAAAAGGAAAGCGGAAATAGAGGAAGTGAAATGTTGCAAAAAATCTAGGACCTCACCTTTAGAACATTGCCAATTACTAATTATTGATGAATGCGTTCAAGTTGATAGATCTCTACACAGTACATACGTTTCAGGGGATTGTCGAGGTAGAAAACCTACCAGAAAATCTGCTCAAGGTAGAGGACGCAACAGGGAACCTAAAGGAGGGATGCGAGAGGCTTCAATACTGGAGGCTAAGTCCCTCATCGAGGCCATGGTGTATGACACCCCAATGCTTAATCATTTGAGCGATGAGAAGGGGGAGAGAAGAGAAGAAAGTAATATGGATCTTTGCCTATCTCAATGGATGTCTCAAGTCCAAAATACTTTTCCATCATTGGAAGAGATCCTAGATTCACAGGTGGTGGTGGCTGGCCTTGAACAGCCACAAGCTCTATGTTGATACTTTCATGGAACTATCAGGGAGTCGAGCAACCCCTACAGTTCATTGCAAGGGTTAGTTCAATCCTATCGTCCAAATATAGTCTTCCTTATGGAGAGGAAAAATAAGTCCAAGAAACTGGAAAGAATTCAAATATCACTGCAATATAAAAACAAATTTTATGTGGATCCTATGGGGAGATTGGCTCTAAGGTGGAAGGATGATGTACAGTTGGAAATTGATATTTGCAACAAGAATCTAGTCAATGCTACGTGCATAGCTAGATATCCTCCTCTTCAATGGCAAGCAACTTCTATTTATACTGAATCTGAATTTCATCAGAGACAAAAGGGTGTGAAGAGTTCTTAGACATCTGGCTGCGGCTAATGACCATCCAAGGCTAATAGTTAGAGACTTCAATATCATTGGTTCAATGCGGGATAAAAGAGTGGCAGAGTGGGAAATATGAGATCGATTGAAGACAAAGCTTGACTTCAATATCACTGGTTCAGTGCAGGACAAAGCATGATTTCAGATTGTGGCATGATGGAACTAGACTTTAAGGGGCAAACTTTCATTTGGTCTAATAACAGGAAAGGAGATGCGAATATACTGGAAATGATTGATCGTGAATAAATTGCAAAAAAAATACCATGTCTTTAAGTTTGAAGCTACGTGGATGGAATCGGAGCAATGTGCAGAGAGATAGTGAAACAAAGTTGGGAAAGTGGGGTAAGAGTACGGAATTTGTCCATGCGAAATTAGAAGATTGCAAGCTGAGATTGAAAAAGTCGAGCAAATAAGAATTTGGTAACAATAGGAAAATTTTGACAAATCTGAAGTTAGCCCTAGAGGAAATTCAAAAAAAGGGGACCTAATAGCTAGAACCTTTTGAAGGAAAAGGAAACCAAAATCCAATTGGAGACAATATGGAAAAGAGAAGAATTAATTTGTTAAAGACAGGGGATCAAATACGAGGTTCTTCCATTTAACAACGATCCAAAGACGTCAACGAAATCAGATTGTGAAATTGAAATCGGCAGGAGAGGAGTGGACAGAAAGAGAAGAGGAGTTGAATCATCATATAAAGGAGTATTTTCAAAATCTGTTCAAATCCTCAGGACAAAGGGAATTTAGAAGGATTTTGGAAGTCATGCCTAATTTGATTTCCACGAAAATGAAGGATGTTTTGCTGAGCCCATTGTTAGATGAGATGAAAAGAGCCACAATGATGCAAATGGCCCTCAATGCACCTGGTCCAAAAGGGTATCCGGGGAATGTTCTATCAGAAATTTTGGAAAACAATTGGTCCAGAGGTCTATGCTGCTATTAGAAAGTTTTTTGATGAAGGGAAGATGGTCCAGTATATTAAAATAACGAACTTTGTCTTGATCCCGAAAGAAACAAATCCTGAAGACTTCTCTTAGTTTTGGTCTATCTCACTGTGAAACTTTGCTTACAATATAATATCAAAGGTGTTGGCTAATAGACTAAAGAAGATCCTCCACCTCCTGGTAACACCTAATCAAGTTGCCTTCGTCCCTCATAGGTACATACGGGACAGTTTTTTAGTTGCTAAGGAAGCTTTCTATGCGCTCAAGATCAATAAGATAGGTAAAATTCCATCCATGGCCACTATACTCAATGTCAACAAAGCTTATGACTGGATTGAATGGGATTTTTTGGAAGCTATTTTGAAAAAGTTAGGGTTCACACTGAAATGGATCAACCTCATTATGTAATGTGTTTGCACAATTAAATTTGATGTGGTGATTAATGGAGAATCAAGAGATGAGGTGATTCCTCAAAGAGGACTTCATAAGGGCAATGAGGGGAAATGAAACCATGGAGAATCTAACGGAGGAGTCCCACACTATCCCATCTTTTCTTTGCTGGCGACTCTTTTTTTTCAAGGCCAATGAACAGGATGGAACCAGATTGAAGTCTATTATACGCATATATTGTGAGGCGGCCTGGACAACTTATTAATTTCAAGAAGTTGAGAATTCTCTTCTCAACAAACACCACAGTAGAGCAGAAAACCGTCATGAGTCAAGTTATGCAGATAAAAGTCCTTCCCAATAGTGCCAAATATTTGGTTTTGCCAGCCATGTGGGGGAGATCCAAGACCAAGACTTACAATTATCTACTTAAGAGAATTATGAGGAAGATTCAAGGGTAAAAGGAGGTTTATCTCTCCCGGGCGGGGAAAGAAATTCTTATAAAATCAGTGGTCCAAGCGATCCCCAATAATGCTATGTCGTGTCTGATTTTCCCACAAAAATTATGCGATAAAATGACTGTGTGCGGCGCTTCTGGTGGGGCCAAAATTCAGAAACTAGTGGAATCCCTTGGAAATGATAGGATGGTATGACGACGTCTAAAGCTATAGGAGGTATGGGTTTTAGGGATTTCCATTGCTTTAATCAGACCTTTAGCTAAGTAATGTTGGCGATTAATACTTCATTTTGGGTTCGGATACTAAAATCGATTTAGTTTCCTAATTCGGATTTTATGGAGGCTAGAAGGGGGGTGAGACCATCATGGATATGGAGCAACCTATTAGTGGGAAGAGAGTTGTTGTCTAAAGGCCTAAGATGGCAGGTGAGAAGTGGTGATCAAATTAATTTTTGGAAGAATAGATGGATCCCTACCCTACCTAGTTTTTCAATTACTCCGCTCAAGCCCTTTAATTGTAATATTGAGTATGTTGAGGATGTAATTAATCAATCATCAAAGGCTTGGGACATGACTATTCTTCAAAAGGTATCCAGCACAAAGGAACAACAAGTAATGAAGACTATCCCCATCTCGAAGATGAAGGAGGAGGATAAGAGGATATGACAATTTAATCCAAAGGGCCAATACACAGTCAAGTCAGGCTATAGGGAGGCATGAAGAAGAAAGATAACTATAGTTATTTAAGAAGCAGTTCCTCTTCACTACTTCATCCTAAACTTTGGAACATTATCTGGAGCTTGAAGATCACAACTAAGATTAGGCACTTTTGGCGGAGAGTATGCTCTAATGCTCTTTCTACTAATGAGAACCTATTTAGGAGGAAATACAACTCCCCACTTTGCCAGATTTGTGTGACTCAAATTCAGACCACTTAACACCTTTTATTTGGGTATGTGTGGACGCATAGAGTTTGGCTCGAAATGGACCTGGGTTTAAGAATGGAAAATCAAAGTATGGTAGCTGCGAAGTTTTGGACATCTAGTTTATTGGAGGGACCAAACTCTTTTCAACAAGCTGTGGAGGTTCTTAGCAAAGTTGTGACAATGGGATAGTCTATTTGGAAAATGAGGAATGAGGTTATTTTCCAATCTGCAATCCCCAATCCTTTAGTCACACTAAAAAGGGCACAATTTGATTGGAGAGAATACAATTCCATCTTTTATGTTCAGGAGCAACACCCTTGTAATTCATCTTCAGATCTCCTCTTTTCAAATTGCTAGCTAAGACCTCTTCTAGGTGTGATGAAAGCCAATAGTGACGGAGCCTTTAATGAAAAGACGAAACAAGCATCTATAGGCGCGTGATCATCAGTGACCACAGAGGAGCTTTCTTAAATGGAATAGCACAAAAGTCTCCCTTTGCATCCAGCCTCTTTTCGGAAGCAATGGCTCTATGTGAAGCATGCCGACAGATTTATACGTTAAAAATATCTCAGGCAATTGTGGTAAGCGATTCTCAAATCCTAATCTCACTTTGTACTGGGGAAGACGTACCCTATTGGGAGATTGCAACTTTGGTCTTAGGTTGGTTTACAACCCTCGTTCAGCTAACAAGGCAACCCATTGGGTGGCAAAAGTGACGACGTCTCTTTTATTATTAGATAGATGGATTTCTGATCCACCTGCGGATCTAAGGCGCATTTTTTCTAATGATTATAATTATGACATCGTTTCGTAATGAAAGTTTTACTTTTCTGGTTCAAAAAAAAAAACTACTCATACCTTATGGTATAAATTGTTGAGCAACTAAAAAACATGTTCACAAACTAAGAGTGTCATGTTAAATAAATGTGTAGTAAAACAAAAAAGAAAGGAATTAAGAATGAGTACATTGCTGAAATGATACAAGTGACACTAATAGGAAATAATATGAGATAAATTAATTGATCAAAAATAACTTTAAACTAGATAAATATGATAACTTTAACAAAAGATATTGTCCTTGACAGCAAAGAATGACAAAACAAGATTCATATCATGGTACCTTTAATGGCATATACTCTTGAGAACAAACCATAGCGAAGCATGATTCATGTGGACAACCTCTCTACGTGGTACGGGTACAGGTACGGGGTACATTACTTTTTGCGGTACGTGGTGCAGTGGGGGTAGGCTTAGCTGGTACGCTTTTTTGGGTCGCGGTTCGCTTTGAACTATTATTCGGATCGTTTTTATTATTACAAAAAATTATATAAATATATACATTATAAAATGCAAATCAAGACCAACAACAACACATTAACTAATAATTATGTATAAAAAAGTAATGATTGCATATTTTATTATCAATAAAAGACAACATATAAATTTAAAGATTTAAAATTTAAAAAATAACGTACTAGAGAGCGATTAAATAGATTCCTACTTGAAGCACAAATCAAAATAACACTCTTAAACATCTAACAAGTCTCAAATAAAAATTACTTAATAATAAGAAAATCAGCAATTGCTCATGAGTTAATTGTCAACTCTTTTCCCTTTATCTTTCGCAGTGTTCTCTCCTCTTGCAAAGTTACTAATTTGAGTCTGATGTAGTCCAGAATGACGGAGCGGTGGCCTGCTAGAACTAGTAGGTGGTTTGTCAATAGAGATGGGCATAGAAGCATGTAAGGATGAAGCTTCCCGATCGTCGTCTCCAGCAATGGTAGAACTATCTGTATTGTCATCCTCCAAGAATTTCCATTGCAAATCCTCCAATTTCACACTAGAATCATCTTTATATATGTGCTCTGGATTTATATCCCATTTTTTAAAAGGGTCATCTTTGTACCTTTCACTGAAACGTGATTGGAGACGAATATTCGAATGGATGAAAACTAATTTGTCAGCTCTGGTAGAATTCAATCAGTTTCTTTTGACATTGTGAATAAATGAATACGTGCTCCAATTTCTTTCAGCTAAAAAACTTGTAATTGGTTGTGATAACATTTTTAATAAAAACAAATAATAAGACACATTAATAATATAATTAACAATAAAAATAAATAACTTGTAATTTAAATTAGTACATTTTTTGCCACTTCTACTAATTCTAGAGTTTCTGAACCATATATCGACCACCAATCAATAGCATCCATGGTCACAGCATCTGTTTGAGCTACCGTCATAGCATAAAGACCCTTTCGCGAGTGAAAATGTGCATACTGTTCTCTCAATTGTTTTGCTTCTTCTACATCTTCTGCTATCTTTTCAAAAACTTCCATAACACCTATGATGACCTCTCTATCTTGATTTGAAGTTTTCCTAACTGTACCTCCCGGTGCTAGCTTAGTAAGATATTGGGTATCATAAAATCGCAGTGTTTAGTGCAAACCCAAGACAATTTCAAAGGAATATTCATCTTCTCCCATTTGTCGAGCACAATTTTTTCAATCTGAAAAAATTATCAACGTATTTTCCACCCCTCATAATATCTTTTATTTCACCAAGCATGTTGTCCATCTTCTCATAAATCTCACCCATTTTTTGACCTTCCCCATCACAAAATTTAATAAGAAAAAATATAGACTTTGTGATACTTATAATATTTTCCACATCCTCCCAAAATTCTTCACTAATAACAGTGGATGTAACCAGAGCACCTAACTTTCTTGTGTGTTCATCCCCAAAGTTCACCAATTCTTTCCATGACTTGAGAACAATGGTAGTTGCAAGGGACTCTATACAGTTAACAAGTTGCTTCAACAAAATATAATGCGATGCAAACATGATCTTAGCCACTTTTTATAGCTCCAATTTAGACTAAGCTCTAAACATAGCCAAAACATGTGTATGGTTCAAGAAATATTTAATAATAGACTTTCCCCTTCTATAAGTTTTTCTAAATCATTCAAATTCCTTTGCAAAATCTTTAAAAATTAGATTCAGAGTATGAACATCACAAAGAGACCAAAATATATGTTTGTGTACCTTTTCCACCTCTTTCCCCTCAAATTTGCAATTTGTTGTGTTATCGATCACTACTTGAATGACATTTAGTGGACCTACTTCTTCAATGACTTTCAAAAAAAAATCAACAATTGCTTTACCTGTTTTCTCTATCCCTGAAAAATCCTAAGCATATAAAAACATAGCTCCACGACTATTTGCAACAGTGATATTAATAAGTGGTTGATGCTTCACATTAGTCCACCCATCTGATACAATGAATACCCCATTAGAATATCATGTATCTTTAATAGGAATCAAATCTTTTTCAACACTTCTTTTGCACTCTTCCAATAATGTAGCTCTTGCTTTTTCATAGCTGAGAGCCTTGTAACCTTTAGGTCCTCTATTTATAGCTAAAATCATCTCATTGAATTGAAGATTTCTTAACACATTGAATGAAATTCCATTAGCACATAATCCCCTCATGACCTTCAAGTCTACCATGTCTCGATCCATTATTTTGAATGTATCTTCAATTGATCCCATCGTCGGCGAAGGTTGCCGTTTCATCAATGTAGAATTTTTTCTTCAATTGATCCCGTCGTCGGCAAAACTCCTATTTTTTCTGCCATTTGTACTCTTTCTCGTAATTTTGCATATTCAGTCAAATTATTTATCAAAGTTTGACACTGTTTAATTTCTGTTTTTTTCCCAGGTGGAGCACCAAAAAAAGGGTAATGCATTCGAGTATAAGAACTTGTAAATTTACCACTTCAATGCTTACATCGCCAACTATTTGATCCCCCAGATTTTTTCCTTGAGCTGCACCAATAAGATTGACTTCATTGAGTAGTGATTTCAATTTTGTATCAACTTGTAATTGATCTTCCTGTGTGCAATTTTTTTGTGGTTGCCTAGTATTATTTTTTTCCGTTACTTTAATATGTTCAACTTCTTGTTCATCAGCAGAATCATCTAAATTCAGAATATTAATTCCGAATTGTTCTTCAACCTGAGAAGAGTCTTGTTCTTTCCTCCTTCTTTTACCAAAAACTATCTTTCCTCCTTCAAAATCTCTGCTTAAATTTTGCAAATTTAAGCAATACATAACTAAGGGTGAAGGACTTACCGAGCTAATGTAATCGAGTAACGCAGCGTTAGCTTCACCATCCTTAGCCGGCGCGTCAATCTGCACGCTTAATGCCCCATCGTTGAAATCTAAAATTCATTACAAACGCATCAAAACACGTGTATTTAGAGACAGAAAAAGTAAAGAAAAGATTCAATTTAACAGAAATTCTTTTCGGGAGGAGAGAGAGAAAACCAGTGATAGTGGCGAGTTTGGAACCGGGTTTAGCGTGGATGGTGACGGCGACGGAGGAAGGAGGAACGGGGCGGATACATGCTGGGAATTTGGCGTTTACAGGGGACGGAGACTGAGTTGATTGCGCCGAGTTGGCCTTCGCTTTGCCTTTCTTCGAGGGAGCCATTTTGTTCTTCTTTTCCATCGCTGATGATTTCTATTCTATTAGTATTAATTACTAGGGCCGTTTCCGGGTGGGTTGATTGTGATAGGTCGCTTAATTATTTATATCTCTGATATTTAACAACGATATTCTAAAATTGTACTTAGATTCTATTTTAAATAAATCCGTTAATAAATTATATTTATATTTTCTAAAGTTTGTAAGTATATAATACTTAAATTTCTTAAATTTAAAATATTATACTTAAACTAAAAATACTCTAATCAAATATAGAATATTAAATATTTAAAATTTTATAACTAAAATTCATGTTTTATTATATTATTTATTAAAATAAAATTAAAATTAAAAATTTAATTCTTTCTTAAAAAATTGTAATTTGTATACAGTATAATCTATTGAAATAAAATTTAAAAAAATCAAACAATAGATCTAAGTCATTCATAATAGAACATGAATTTTACATCCAAAATTTATGTTCTATTATGTTATTTATTGAAATAAAATTAAAAATAAAAATCTAGTTTTAAAAAAAATTATAATTAGTATATAATTATACTATCTATTAAAATAAAACTAAAAAATTAAACAAATGGTCAAACTGTAATGAATATAATATCTTTTAACTTTAATTGGGGTAGTTTGGTATTTTAATTTAGTTGTTTAAACGACCAAATTAAATTTCAATAGACAATATAATTGTATACTAATTATATTTTTTTTAAAAAAATTAAATTTTTATTTTTGATTTTATTTCAATATATAATATAATAGAAGATGAATTTTAATTATAAAATTTAAAATATTTAATATTTTATCTTTAATTAAAGTATTTTTGGTATAACTATAATATTTTAACTTAAAGGTGTCTAAATAATATATATTTACATACTTCAAGGGGTTTGAGTGTAATTTATTAATTGATATATTTACCGCAGAGGTCTAAGTGTTTCACACGTAAAAACTTTAGAAGGTCTGTATGTGATATTTTAAATGTCAGGGGTCTAAATGATTAAGTAACAACCATCAAGGAATATGAATGTAATTCTCCCTTTGTTTTTTTATTTTTCAATCAAGCCCTTTCCAATCTAGTTAAACCCAACAGGTTATAATTGGTTTAAATTATGAGGCTTTCCCCAAACCTATCCCTATAAAATCTTAATTCCAAAACCTAGTCACTTTTAAACTTAATTTTCAAACCTAATTTTGTTTCAAAAACGTCATTTGGAATGACGTTTTCATAGGTTTAAACGTCATTTCAATTGACATTTTTAAATTGAATTTTTTTTATTAAATACGTTATTGAAAATGACGTTTTTTAAATCGTTATTTTGAGTGATGTTTTTTAAAATAATTTTCAAACGGTAGCTAAATGGGAGTTAAAAAATTAGACGAAAAAACATCATTGAAAGTGACGTTTTCTGTCTTAATTTCTCCAACCTTCTTCTAATTTTAAGTGAATCAATTATAGAATTTAATTTCATTTTCATAATAATTTTGTACTTATTTTCTAATCGAAAATGAATTTCATAAAAGCATAATTTAACCACCACCTTTGCCACAATAACCACCACCACCACCACCACCATTGCCGCCATCCTACTACCACCACCACCACAACCGTTGCTGCCATCCTATTACCACCACCACCACCACCTTTGCCATAGCAATCACCACCGCTCCACCACCAACATTATCCCTACAACCACCACCATCATTGTCATCTCACCATGTAAACCCCCACATATTTATAATACTATAATAATTATATTGTTTAGTAATTTAATATATGTAATGGTGTAGGTATGAACCATATAGGTTATAACCGTAGAAAATGTTAATAGTGTAAAAACTGGGAAAATATATGAAATTGTTTGTAATCAAACTCGTTCCAACTATATTTGATGTCTAAATGTATGTTGTATAAGTTTGAGTTGATTTTGGAAGAGTTTGAAATAGATTAAAAATGAAAAATAGAGGAAACTGGAAAAACAGTACCGGTACGCTGTTGTCGAGAGAGCTCACCGTACCAGTACTGCGTACCGATACACTCGGTAAAACCCATAAATTTTAATTCGCGATCAGTGGTTTGTTTTTCGCTCTATAAATACTTAAAGACACCTCCTTTAGCCCCATTTCAATCTTTTTAACCCTAGGAAACCTTAGAAAGGAAGAAAGAAGGGAAAACATAAGAGATTCAAGTGTTGATTCAAGTGGGAAAGATCAAATCTTCTACATTTCTTCCCAAACTACAAATAAGGTAGGGGTTCTTTCCATTTTTGACCATTGAGGATAGGACTTATATTTATATTATGTTTTCACTCTTATTTATATATATATACTATGAAATTATCCTTTCTTGTTATTTTTGCAAAGATTACCATGTTTTAAACAAAGTTAGGGTTAGACAACTATAAAAACTCTTTTCTTGTCATAAAACCCTAGTTTCCAAGAGAAATTGATTTTTTCTCTTGTGTTTTTCCCGTGTTCTTGATTTCAAAACTTTAGTGCTTTGTAATGAACAATAAAAATGGATTGTTGATGATCTCTTGTTTATTTTCTTAAATTGTTCTCTTGTAATACAAATTGTGAAATTTGGGGATTTTAGATTTCATTGTGATTTGAAAAAATGTTTGTTATTGCATCTCTTGTATGGTTGTTGTGATGGACTTGAATTGCATTCGAGCACTGTCGTAGAGTGTTAGAGGTTAGTTTATCCTAGTGGGGATGAGATAGTTTCCTAATACTTATAGTGGTTTGTTGTTTGTAAGAACAACTACTATTATTGATGTAGGTTCGAGGCTGAGGGATGATATACCTTTCTTGGGAAGGATTAGTCAATACCGTGAGAGATGGTATACATCATTTCTAAAAATATTTGAGATTATGTGATTTTGGTGGGTGAACGAGGTAGAATCGTGGTGTAGATTCATGAAAAGCAACCAACATACCTGAGAATGTGGGATTACATTGTTGAATGATTGTTTGATTTCTATCACTCCGACATGTTTATTTTATATGTTTTCTAAACCTTGTTTGAGTGTGGGAGGATGTTACTATAGAGCTTAGTGCTCACCCCCTACAAACAACATATTTTTCATATTATGTGCAAAAGGAGGAGCTCGAAATAGATGAACAGGCACATTGGGAAGCTCCAATAGATGGGAACGTGGATCCCGAGATGGACGTTTAGAATTATATTCTCTTTTGTCCTAGGTTCTAGATTAGGGAATTTATTTTGAGACAATGTAAAGGCTACCATATTTTGTAATTTCGTTGCGAGATAATAGCTAATTCTTTTGGGATGTAATGACCATGGTTTGACATATTCTTTTGGATACATTATGAATGATGAATGAAATTATTTTTATTTATGAATTTTATTAGGTTATCTCATGATGTGAATGGTTTTAGATTGTGATGCCATCCAAGGGAGCTTTGGGGGCATTACACACCATCACCCTTACCGCCGCTGCCGTCATTACCTCCACTACTACCCGACCTTCACCACTACCCCATTGCTCCACCACCACCACTATATCCACCCCACCACTACCACCACCACCACCATCACCCTTACCACCACCGTCGTCATTATCCCCACCACTACTAGACCTTCAACACTACCCCACTGTCATCCCTACCACTACCCCACCGTCACCGCAATCCTACAAAAGTGTGCAAAACTTCAAAATAGGGAAAAAATACTTATACATTAAAACAAAATAATTTTATTACATGATACGGTAAGAAATACAGTATGTCAATAATTTGGTTGATGTAGAAAATAACATAGAGGATTGCCGAGTACACATAAACTCGAAGGAATAAAAGTGTCAAATGCATCATCATTTAAATCGGAATAATCAAAAAGTTCTGTATTTGAAACAAGTAACAGATTCTAAAATTTGAATATTAGCATAATCAAAGATCGAAATGCTTGATTTTAGCATGGTCGATTGCATGCAAACGATCAAGTCTACGTTGTATTTGATCATTTTCATGTTCAAGCTGACTATGATCTTGTTATGGTTGGTAGAGTTTTGTGGATCATATATATCAGCCTAACGTGCCTTCAGTACCATTAATCTATGTCAACGACAGTATACTTGAAACTCACAATGTTTGTCATATAACTGTTGCCATCTTGGGGTGGGTTCAATACGAACACTCGGATGCAGATAGTCGATCATAGGCCCAACAATACGTGTCCAACTTGACCGAATGAATGATAAGGGTTGATGGGCTCATTACGGAACTCACGCCTTTGTCTATACCAAGTTACACCAATAGAATCTGTGTATGATTTAATTGAACGAACTACGTTTGACAAACTCATTCAGCCAATCGAGTGTTGACGTTCGTTGGGTGAAGATGAAATTTGTTGTTCATTGCTAATAAAGAACCTTGGGTGGTTTGACTGGATTGTGTGTTAGATGTGCGACTAGACGCGTTTTGGGTTATGATGTACACAATTAATTCGGATGGTTTATATAGACACGAAATACAATTATATATAAATTTGGCAGGACATTTACTTGGTACGACTCATATGACTTGACACATGTAAAGTAATGATATGACTCCACACTAATAAAGTAATGACATCACTCATGAATGACAAAAGGACTGACATGACTTGTCACTAGACTGACTACACTGATAAAGCAATGAAATGAGTTCACAATGAAAAAGTAAATACATAACAATTCAAATACAAAGGACTGACATGACTTGACACTATACTTGTTAGACAGGCTTGCTATATATCAAATGAACAATTGTACTCTTTGTTAAGTTTCATTAGACATATAATCATCTAATAGGTATTGTGCATTAGAAAATATATTATTTTGCTCAACTGTTGTCAACTCATGTCCATGTGCACTTTGCATCATGTCTTTTACTTGTTAGAGCATATAATTGTGAGACCTATGAACTAGAATTCTATTATTCTTTCTTTGACCTTGTTTTACTGCTGATTCGTAGTCCTTTCTATTCTGGCATTGCATTGTTATTAA